AGAGACACCTGTCTGTGGTGCTGCTGAGACACCTGTCTGTGGTGCTGCTGAGACACCTGTCTGTGGTGCTGCTGAGACACCTGTCTGTGGTGCTGCTGAGACACCTGTCTGTGGTGCAGCTGAGACACCTGTCTGTGGTGCTGCTGAGACACCTGTCTGTGGTGCAACTGTATGATATTCTGAATTTCTGTGTATTATTGGTGGTTTTTGTAGCCGTGATGTGCCAATATGTATGGCTTGTTTGTAAATTATATGGATTTTCTCCCATATTGCATGGATACAGGGCCAGATAGGACAATCTTATAGATGTTTTCAAAAAGTTGGCTTCAAACTCATGAAGTCTCAGAGCTGGCAGCCTGTCCTCATCCTGCCCTCCCTGCTCTTTCTGCCTTTGCAGACTCTGTTATCTCTGCAGCCGCCAGGTCCGTCCCTGCACCTATTCCTGCACCTATTAAGGCCAAGGTGTAAAATCCACGGCCCGCCACTGCATAAACAACAAAGTTTATGTAAATCATTGGTAAAAATGTTTTATTTTGTGCCTGTTTGGTCGCACAGGAAAAAAAATCCATTTATGCAAAATTATGCAACCCCACAAAGAAGGTGCTGCAGGGAATCATAGGTCTTCTCTTAAAAGATGTGACAGCATCCCACCCCCAACGCCATGCGTTTAACAATAGTGGGGCATCCCCCCGCGCTCCAAGCTCCGGGACCCTTAGTCCTGCTCTTTTTAACCCTGCTAGCATGAGTGCTGAATCTTATTCATAGCACCTTGTCTCCATCACGACATCTGTAAAATCCAAACATGATCATCCTGAAATTAATGAGCCGTATCCACCCCATTACATTTATCTGTTTAGTGGTGTTTTGAGCCTTCCTTTAGGGCATATGCATGCTCCTCTGTTCATATTTATAACCCGGGCTTTTTTTTATTAGCCACGTAGCGGGGCGCTAACAGTTGGGAGGCAGCATGCGCTTTGATGGTGATGGCAGGCGGTACGGTGCGGGCCAAATGTGATGGGGGGGGGACGTGGAGGGAGAGAGGATCAGCTGCCAGGGAAGAGGGCCCTTTGAAAGAAGGGAGGAGAGGAAGAGATGGCAGGAGGAGAAGTGTGGAGATGGAAATCAAGTTTGTTTCGCATACTGCTTAACTTTCTGATAGTGTCTTGTGATCAGTGAATATTTATCATGCATGGTTGTTTTGTAAGCCTCTCTATTCTGAGGCATTTTCTTCGTATTTGATTCAGGGTTTGTGTATGTGAGCGCAATACATCTCTAAACATTTATAGGCCTTATCTAGCATTTTCTGTTAAATTATGTATATGTTTTGGTTCAAATATAGCTTAGATGAAGAATAAAGATCAGCTAAAACATATTTTTATCTAGCAATTGGACATGTTTATTTATGAGTACTGTAGGGTTGCAGGATGAAGTGAAAATACATCCTCATTTTTATATCAATTAGGGATGCACGATAACTCATTTTAAGAACTGATACTGATAACCGATAACTTTCTCCTTCTAATGGCCGATAATCGATAATAACCGATAATGTGCCAAGAGATAAGACTAGTCAAAAATGGGTAAGATCATAACGTAAATAAACACCAAAACCAAATGACACTGTCAATTTTACCATTTGAAATAAACTCTTAGCAAACAAACATTTCTTATAATATATCAAACGAATTTCTCAAATCTTTCCCATCTTTTTAAATAAGGCACATTAATTATAAAAGACCTTAAACACTGATCTCCGATTTAAACAAAAGAGAAAAAGTCATTCCACAAGTTCAAAACAGATGATGCTCGAACACAAGTTAGATTCAAAGTACATTTGTTTTTTATTATTATTAATATATGATTTCAAACATTTTTCTACCTGAAACATGCTTCTGAGATAATAGTGCAGAAATGATCACCTGTCAATCAAAATGTGAATGCATTACGTCTGCATCATACTTATGGGAAGACACAGAGAGAGCAGCAGATTGTTATTATAAACCGTGGTTAACAAGGAGATAAAAGCTCCGGTCTTTAGCGAGGGTGAACGGCTGGTTGTCATCATTTTCATCGTTAAAGTTCTTGAGATCTGCGTCCTCTCCGGCAGTTTTATTGGATTTGTCAAAAGCCTCAGGAATGATTTAAGTCCTGACGAGTTCTTGAACGCTAGCTTGTTGTTAGCATTTTATCAGACGGACCCTGTGCTGCATTCAGGAGGTAATGGATTTTACATGTTCTCAAATTGGGATTAGTTGTTCCGATGTTTATAATTATAAATTTTGTGTAACATTCAGGGTTAATTGGGAAAATAATATAAATAAATCTTAAAATGACTAGTTGTTTTTCAGCACTGAGTATTCTAATTATTTTTCTAGTGAGAAAGTTGTTTATTCCGACGCAACTTGAACGTTGCTCGGGTCGTGTCGGACGGGAAGCGGCTTGACCAAAACGGATAAAAATAAACACGCCCTTTCATCGCCTCGCTGGCAAACATGTACATATATTATCGGTTCTGTTTGTTATGATATCGGACCGATAAGTATGATGTCATAATTCCCTGATATCGAGCCGATAACTATCGGGCCGATAACTACCCTGCACCCCTAATACTGTATCAATGAGAACAATCAGTATCACAAACAACTGTGTGGATCACAAGTATTCACATAATTTTAATCCAAGTGCCATGAAATCAGATTTTAAAAGCAATGAACTGCCTTTGCACTTGATTCTCATTTCCAGTTCCAATGCTACGTTTATCTATAAATGTTCAGTCTTGTAGAGAAGAGGTGTCAGCCTCATTTTCACAAAGGGCCACGTGAGCATTGTGGTGGCCGTCAAAAGGCCAGTTGTAATTAACTTCAGCATTTTGTGTTCAACTACCACTAAATACAAAACATCACTTTTCTCATCTCATTGCTATGGTGGAGCAATGGCTACTTTTGAACCCTGCGCACCACCACCTAGTGGTGAGATGCTGTCATTTTGCGACCAAAATAATCAATTTTGGGAGATATAGTTTATGATCAATGCTGCCTTTAAAGCAGCATATACTTATTTTAAAAACATTAATAGATATATGAAGCTCTCGCAGACCACATAAAATGTGTTGAGCCACTTTTTGCCCATGGGTCTCGAGTTCGACACATTAGAGCATCACCACATTGCCAAATTTGTCTGGCCCATTTCTGGCCCACACAATGCACTAACCATCACAGACATCCTTTTGGTGGCCGATGTGGTTGGTGGCCAACGCCATGTAAACCAAACTAGAATAGAATAGAATAACTTTATTGTCTGTCCCAGCCAGGCCAGTTGTGGATCACCATCTTAAAAACAGTGCAATCATTGCCAGACCTGGCCCACATCTGGTTGATAAACCGCTTGCCACGCCAGCAGTGCCAGATTGACACCAGATCTGTCCCACACCTCTCTGCTATGTGGGAACATCTTGTTATATTCTATAATGAGGTTTTAGTAGTTTAGGTCCAACTTTGAGTCGTACCTCTTAACACTAGGATCTAACACTAGGAGCAGTGCGGTGGCAGTAATGATGGAGTATTTATGGCATGAGGCTTGCATGCACCAACTTGGCTGCATCATCAAAATTTGAAAGCATAGCCTCATGCTTCGGCTACAATTCCAACAACTAAACACCTAGCAGCATCACGATTGCCTTCATACTGAAGATTTTCCAAACTTGTCATGATCCAGCCTCGTTCTGATTGGTCATACAGCTTTGGAAAAAAATTGAGAGACCACTAAAATGATCAGTCTCTATAATTTTACTCTTTACTCTTTTGAGTAAAATGAACATTATTTTATTCAATGAACTGACAACATGTCTCAGAAATTCCAAGCAAAAATGTATTTATTTACAGAAAGTGAGAAATGGTCCAAATGATGGCAAAGATGCAGTGCTTTCAGACCTCAGATAATGCACAGAAAACAGGTTCTAGAAACAAGTATTAGAAACAACAACATTAATGTTTTAACTCAGGAAGAGTTCAGAAATCAATATTTGGTGGAATGCTTTCATCCAAATACAGGGAAACTGTTCAGTGGTCAACTGTTTCCAGAGCTGAACAACAGCGAACTGAAGTCACAACTGAAAATAATCAGCAATTTCCTTCAATGTTGCTGAATTCAGTCCTTCAGTTTTTGTCAGAAATGACTCTGGCTGTCCCAACTGTTTTAAAAACAACAAACGGAGGCTGCTGTATCTTTACTGCATCATTTATTGTAGCCCATGAATGTAAGAAATAAAGTGGGTTTCCCTCACTGAGGTATATTGGCTACAGGCGTCATGCAGGCTTCAGAAGATTGACCACTGAGCAATGATTTATCATGGCTAGAATTCTGAGTAGAACTGCAGAAATATTTATTTTTCATTTGTTAGCTTCTGCCTATTAGAAACATCATTCACTGCAGGCGTGTACCTTGGCTACACGTTTTTACCTGATGTGATAATATTTACCGATAAGCATTTTTATAAAATCAAATTAACGGTTGTCCATATCAAACTGAGTTTCACTGATGTGCTGACCTAAATTTAAAATGTCACGGCTACCACATTCAGCTTCACCAGCTTGTCCTCACACTGAA